AGAGAGAGAGGCTGGGGATTTAGCTCAGTGGTTCTGCCGCCTGCCTTACAAAGGCAAGGACCCAAGTTTGATCCCTGGTACCAAATAAATAAATAAATAAAGACCACTCAGACCTTACTGTAATTAATCTAGCTTCCTTTTGATTAACGTTTATATCTTCCCCCTTTAAATTTTGTTTTTAGGGTTTTTTTTGAGGCAGGGTCTCACTTTATAATTCAGGCTGTCTTGGAATTCACTATGTAGCCCAGGCTGGCTGATCCTCCTTCCATAGCCTCTTGAGTGCTGACATTACAGGCATGGTGCTCCACACCTGGCAGACACAAGGACCCAAGTTCAGTCCAGGGTACCAAAAAAAAATTAAAAAACCAAACCAAACAAAAAAACTTTCAACCTTTCTGGAGGCTGGGCATGGAGGCCCAGGTCTGTTGTCCCAGCATTCGGGAGCCAAGGCAGGAAGATTGCCTTTGAGGCCAGCCTGGGCTCCATAGTGAGTTCCTAGGCCAGCCGGAACTACACAGCGAGACCCTGACTCAAAAAAAAAAAAAAAAAAAAAAAAAAAAATCTTGCAACCTTTCTGTATCTATGTTTTAGATTTATGTGTTACAAAAATGTTTGCCCTTTGCTTTTCTTAAGTGTCACAGTTTTGGTCTTTGAATTTGAGCCTGTGGTCTGTTTCTGTTTAATGTAATTACTAATTTTATTTGGGTTTAAATCTATAACTTTGTGTTTTCTCATTATCTTGCTGCATTTTTTACTTTCAGGTTTATTTTTAAAATTATTCCATGTTTCTACTCTATTCATTTATTGTTTGCACATTATCTCTTTATTTTGGTGGTCACACTAGAGATTATAGCATGGAGCATTGACTATCAAACTCTTATCTCTGGGCTTCCATCCTTCCCTACTGTAATGGTGTGGAAATATTTGACTAGTTATCCCTCTTTGCCTTCAAGCAGATGTCTTCTATATTTTGTACAGCTTTTTCTAGTTGTCTTTAGTGGTCTTTATATGTAGTTTGCCATTACCAAAAGAGTATCTCTGTACTTGAATTTTAAATCTATATTATTATGGACAATTTTCAACATAATGTAAAATTAGACATACTAGCATTATGACTCTATGTTTCTGTCACAATAACCATCAAGTCTTGGTTAATCCTGCTTTATCTGTGTTCACATTTACTCTTTCTCATCCTATATTGTTTTGAAGCTATTTCCATGTCACGTGAATTTATCTGTATTTTAGTGTGTGACCCTAAAAAGTAATTTTACAATATAACCACAATTTATCACATCTAAGTAATGATAATTCCGTAATTATAGACAATCCAATCACTGTTCAAATTTTGTTCATTTTTGGTGTAATTGTATTTAGCAACAGGCCTATGAAGTTACTTTGTTCTGAATCTCTTAACAGTGTACAGAGATTCTCTAGCACAATTGCAGAGGCTTTTTTTTTGTATTTTTTGAGACAGGGTCTCACTATGTAGTTGAGACTGACCTGGAGCTCAATATGTAGCCCAGGCTGGTCTCCAACTCAAAGTGATCCTCCTGCCTTCTAAGTGCTGGAATTACAGGTGTGCGCCACCCTGCTCAGCTGCAGAGGCGTATTTTTCTTTGAGACAGAGCCTTGCTGTACAATTCAGTCTGATCTTAAACTCAGGGGGCTAGGGATTTAGCTTAGTGGTTCCACCGCCTGCCTTGCAAGCACAAGGACTTGAGTTTGATCCTCGGTATCCAGGGAAAAAAAAAGTATTTTCTCTGATCTTAAACTCAGTATTTAGTCCAGGCTGGCCTCAAACTTGTGGTGATCCTCCTGCCCCTGCCTCCCGAGTGCTGGGATCACAGGTGGCACCACAAAATCTGGCATGCAGAGGTCTTTTGTGGCTTGGTTGGTACCAACCATAAAGACTTCCTTACATGCCCCTAGATTCCTCTTTACTTGTCTAAAGTGTACCCCTTCTAGGTTCAAATCTTCCTTCTTTCTTCCATGGAGCCTGACTTTAGCATTACTCTGCTGTCTTTACTTCATCTCCTCCTTCTGTGGCACCTGGTTGTACTGTCTTGTGTAGATAGTATAACTTCTCAGGATTGTGAACTGTGGGAGGATGGACATATGGGTACTTTATACTTTGTGTACCAAACTCGGTCTGCCACCTTGTGGGCAGAATAGTACCTGCCGTCATCTCAGGAATTTTGGGAGAGCCAAGTGAAGGCTAATGTTTTCATGTCTGAAAACATTTCTTATTGCCCATAATCAAAATTACAAGGAATTGTCAGCGCAAATTCCAGGACACAATCTCTCTGAGGGCAGAACCCATGTTCCTAGAGCCTGTCATAGTATCTGGCAATAGAGGTGTCCAGTAAATGTTTGTTGATTTAATTTATTATCTGAATTTAGCCATTTCTTCATTCTTGCTTATCAGATGGTATGCAATATCAGTGTTAAAATTAGCCTAAAGGAAAAGGTTAAACTTTACCATAATTTTTATTTGATTTCTTTTCTCCCCCTCACAAATCTTGATAGGTCTATCTCAACACGTAGTTACCAGCTATAAGCAAGTAATCCAACTCTTGGAGGAGGGAATAGCAAACAGGTAATGGGTTTGTTTGTTCCCATTGTTCTTCCAGCCTTCTTCTCCTGTTCTGTGTTCTGTCCCCAAGAGGCCTTCAGAATAGCAGTAACCCAGGGTGAGGGGTGCTGCCTGAGGGCCAGTACTCTTTTTGCTAAAACAAAGTGGGCTTTGTTCTTGATAGAATTATAATAGGCAATAAGTCCAGAAAGAGATGCTGTACTCTGCTCTAAAGTATACAGCTTTTGCTACTTTGATCAAAGAATAGATTCTTGCCTGCATTATCATCTCCTTGGGTTTGATAAAAATGAATACAGAATAAAATACATCAGAAGTTTTCTTCTGCTTTTGGATACTTGTAACCACCCCAAAAGTGTTGTGAATTCACTATGAATAAGTAAGTGCTATAGGCTCTTCTTTTTGTTTTGTTTTTGGTACTGGGGATCAAACTCGGGACCTTGCACCTGTGAGGTGGGTGGTAGAACCATGGTGCTAAATCCCCGGCCCGGCTCTTCTAAAAATTATTGTAAAATTGTGATAACATTCTATGTTTTTAGTTTTTATGAAACACCAAGACTATTAATTAATGCCTAGGGGAAACCTTTTATTTCCTAGAAGAAAAAAAACCATTTAGTCTCCTGTTTTACTATTAATAACAAGGCCTTTATTTTAACTGAAAATAAAGGGAAATACTTAAATTTAACATTCCCCTGGGCTTTCATGGAACTGTCCTGGAGAAATTTGTGTCTGGTCTTCATGATGCCCTGAACTCTTTGTTATTAACTGTCAGACTTCACAGTTTCCTCTTTTTATCTTTGAATTAAGAGATAAGCCGCTAGATTTTTACTCCTTTCTTCAATTTTAAAGGCTCCCATGAGAGTGGAAGTCAATGAAATAGTCTGAGATAGCCTTAAAACTAAAGTGTGACTGACTTATATTTAGATAAAGGGAATGCTCCCAGCTTTAGTGGTGAGCACTGGAATAGATGTCTAAGGGAGTTTGTGAATTCCCTCTCATTTAAACATGATATTGATGTTATTCGAAATCTCACTTCAGAAGCCTTTCTGAGCTGGGTGTGATGGAAAATGCCTGTAATCCTAGCACTCTGGAGGCTGAGGTTTCAAGGCCAGCCTGGGCTACGTGGTGAGTTCAGGACCAGCCTGGACTATGTAGGGAGATCCTGTCACAAACAAACCTTTCTAATATTTTGTTTTACTACTCCTTCCCTCCCTCCCTTACTTCCTTCTCTGTAGTTGAGGCTGGTCTCAAACTAGTGGTAATCCTCCTCCTTCAGCCTTCAGAATGCTGGGATTTTAGGTGTGTGCCACCATGGCCAGCTACAATTTAGCCCTTCTCTTTTTCAGAGTCTTCTCTGTCAAGCTTATCTTCTTTAAATGGTTTGTCTCAGGGATATTGTTCCAGGTTGATAACACTATAGCATGCCCCTTTTCACTCTGTTAGCTTTTATCACTTTTTAAAGTGTTTTAGTGTGAGTTGGTGTTTAACCTAATGTATTTTTTTCTCAGCTATCAGCACATAAAGTGCTGCTTCTGCCCTCTTTGAACCATTTCCTAACTGTACTAGACTTAACATGATGTTTTATGATTCTCATCTGTGACCTTCAGGACTAACCTTTCTTTTATTCCCCGTAGATACTTCAGCGTCTGCCATGCATAAACAATCCTTGTGCATAAACAATCCTTCCCTTTTATTCACAGAATCACAGCAGCCACCCATGTTCACGAAGCCAGCAGCAGATCCCATGCCATCTTCACTATCCACTACTCACAGGTTGGTTACTCCTGCTTGGTGCAATTTCTTCCTCTTTTCTCTTTTGAGTGCATTCTTTCTTTGGTTTGTTTGTTTTGGATTTTTTTGAAACAAAATATTTATTGGTACATTTTAGATGTACATAATGATAACATTCATATAGGGAATTTGTACTGTACATGATATATCTTGATTCTTCTTTTGTTCTCATTCCACCCCCTCCCTTCAACCCCACTTCCCCTCATTAACAGAAGCTTTGTTTTCATTTTTTCCTTCTATTCTTTCTTTTTTCCCTCATCCCTTCTTTTCTTTTCCCCTTTCCCCTCTCTCGATCCTTTTCTTATTTGAACATTTTCTTCCCATTTCCCAATATCTGTCATACATTTTAGTCCTTATTTCCACTTTGGGTTTTCATACCAGAGAAACATGTGATATTTAAACATGTGGTATCTGATTTATTTGACTTAAGAGTATGGTCTCATGGTGGGGATTTAGCTCAGTGGCAGAACACCTGTCTTGCAAGCACAGGGTCCTGAGTTTGATCCTGGTACCAATAAATAAATAAACAAATAAATAAAGTGTATGGTCTCAAGGTGCATTCATTGAGCTAGAAATGTCTCAAGCTTATTCTTTATAGCAGAGTAGTGCTCCATTCTCTTTTATTTAAAAAAAAAAACATGTTCTTTATCCATTTGTCATTTGATGGATATTTGGGCTGTTTCCAAGATTAAACTATTACAAACAGTGCCACCATAAACATGGGTGAAAATATATCACTGGTATGATGCCTTTAGTTCTTTTGGGAAGGTACCAAGAAGGGAAGTAGCTGGGTCACATGGAACCTCTAGTTTTAGTTGTTTGAAGAATCTCCACACTGATTTCTACAGTGGTTGCACCAGTCTACACATTCACCAACAGTGGAGAAGGGTTCTCTTTTCCCCACAGCCCTGCCAGCATTTGTTATTGGTTGATTTCTTGATAGCAGCCATTCTATCTGGAATGAGATGGAATCTCAGCATTGTTTTAATTTACATCTCTTGAATGACCACTGATGTTGAACATTTTTTCATATATTTGTTTGCTCTTTCTACTTCATTTTAGAAGTGTGTATTCATTTCAGATTCCCATTTTTGAATTTAATCTTTAAATTTGGGGGGTCTGATTTTTTTTTTTTTTTTTTTTTTTTTTTTTTTTTAGTTCTTTATATATTCTAGATATTAGTCCTTTTTCTGAGACCAGCTGGAAAAAAATTCTTCCCATACTATAGGTTATCCCTCCACTCTGTTGGTGGTTTCTTTGGATGTGCAAAAGCTTTTTAATAAGATCCCAGTAGATTCTTTGTGATAGTTCCTGTGTGATTGGGATTTTGTTCATAAAGTCTTTGCCTACACCATTGTCTTCGAGAGATCCACCTGTTCTATCATACAGCACATTTAGTGTTTCTGTTTTAATACATAGATCTTTGACTTATTTTGATTTTAGGTTAGTATATTGTGAAAGATATGGGTCTAGTTTTAATCTTTGTCATGTGGAAGGACAGTTTTTTTAGTACCATCTATTAAAGAAACTACCTTTCTTCTAGTGAAGATGTTTCGCTCCTTTGTCAAAAGGTTTGTGGCCAGCCTGATCAATTCAGACTTTATATAAAAATAAAAAGGGGTGAAGTTGTAGCTCAGTGGTAGAATGCTTAAGTAGGCCAGGTGTAGTGGCACACACCTGCAATCTCAGCATTTGGGTGGCTGAGGCACGAGGGTCGCTGCAAATTTAAGGCCAGCTGGGATGACCTAGTAAGTTCAAGGTCAGTCTGAGCTACATAGTGAGACCCTGTCTTAAAAAAAAAAAAATGGTTGTGTAGCATGTGTGGGGCCCCTGATTCAATCCCTGGTATTGGAAAAAATAGGAATTAAAATGGTACCCTAACATGTGCAGTTGGCCCTCCATATCCACATATTATGTATCATGTAATCAGGCATGTAATGCTAGCATTTGTACTGAATATATACAGAATTTATTTTCAATGTTCCTTGAATAATTATATAGCTAAACATTTGCATTATTCAGTATTTTAAATAAATGGGAAATAATTTAAAGTATGTGGGAGGATATATGTATTGTTATATTCAAATACTATGCTATTTTATATCATAGAAAATACTTGAGATCCTTGGATTTTGTTATCCACAGAGGACATGGAACCAATCCTTTGTGGATATAGAGGAATGGCTGTACTGGTTTTTTTGGTATCGGGAATCGAACTATGAACCTTATGCTTGTGAGGCAGGAGGTGGCACCACTGAGCTAAATCCCCAGCCCAGCTGTACTGTTAACATGGGGAGGGCAGTGAAACAGTAACAACAAGGAGAAAGGCAGAAAACACATGAAATACAAATAGAAAAACAATAGATGTGATTCTGAACACATCTGAAGTTACATTAAATGTGAACACACTAGGATTCAAATCAGATCCAGCTATGTGCCAGCAGCAAAAGCACACCTTAGATTCAATGACAAAATAGGCTGAAGTTAAAAAGATGGAAAATGATAAGGACTGTAAATAGTAACTATAGAAGAGCTGGGATGCTGTATCAGTGTTAGGCAAAAAGTATTATAAGACAAATAGTAGAGCTAAAAGGGACATTGCTAATGATGAAGTGTCAGTAGATCAAGGTAGCACAATTATATGTGCTCCCAACAACAGAACTCCAAAGTACATGAAGAGAAAATGGACAAAATTGAAAGGAGAAATAAACAGTTCAACAACAGTAGTTGGGGATTTAAGTATTCGCTTTTAGTAATTGGTAGATCTACCAGACAAAACTTAGATAATAGAAAATTTAAACATTATCAGCCAGCATGACCTGCCATTTACAGAAGACTTCACTTAATATTTGCTTTCAAGTGTACATGAACATTTTCCACAATAAACTGAAGCTGAATAAAGCTGAAGTAGATGAGGTAGTGTGATATTAATGTTAAGGTAGAAATACAAAGCCAGACATGGTGGGTGGCGCATACCTGTAATCTCAGCATTCAATAGGCTGAGGTAGGAGAATCACTGCAAATTTGAGGTTAACCTGGGCTGTATATTGAATTCAAGACCAGCTTGAACTACATATTGAGACTCTGTCTCAAAAAACAAAAACAGATTGGTGGAACTAAAGAGTCTAAAAGAAGCTGGGCGTGGTGGCTCACGCCTGTAATCCCAGCACTCCGGAGGCTGAGGCAGGAGGATCGCTGTGAGTTCGAGACCAGCCTGGGCTACATAGTGAGTTCCAGGTCAGTCTCAACTACATAGTGAGACCCTGTCTCAAAAAAACAAAAACAAAAAAATTCTAAAAGAGATCCACATGCATATTGTATTTTTTTGTTGTTGTTTACTTGTTTTTTGAGACAGGGTCTCACTATGTACCAGTAGTTCAAGCTGGCCTTGAACTCACTATGTAGCTCAGGCTGGCCTTGTGTCACAGCCTTCCAAGTGCTGGAATTACAGGTGTGTGTTTCACCATATCCAGCTGGTAACTGATTTTTTTTTTTTTTGGTGGTAGTGTCTCCCTTTGTATTTCAGGCTGGCCCTGAATTCACTGTGTAGCCCAGGCTGGCCTTGAACTTGTGGCGACCTTCCTGCCTTAGCCTGATGAATGTTGGAATTACAGGTGTGCACTACCATGCCTGGCTTGGTAACTGATTTTTAAAAGAATTGCAAAGGCCATTCAGTGGACAAAAATACAATCTTTTCAACAAGTAATAGTGTAACAGTTGAGTACCCATAGGAGAAAAAACACACAACAAAGAAATAAAAAGCAACTTTGAACCATGTCTTGCTCTGTGTCCCAGAGTTAACTCAAACTGGTATAGATTTTGGGTATAAATTCAAACTCCTGAGTTTGCACTAGATAGGCACAACATCTTCAGTCAGGTGAACTTTTTTTTTGGACCAGGGACTGAACTCAGAACCTTGCACCTGTGAGGCAGGAGGTAACGCTACCGAGCTAAATCCCTGGCTCCAAACATTTTTTATATATGGCTCTAAACACACAAAATGAACAAAGGAACAAAGTAAACTTTGAAATTTGCCAAAATTTAAAACTTCTGCTCTTTGAGAGTGTTTTGTTTTTTGTTTGTTGTTTGACAGTGTTAAGAGACTTAAAAAGAAAAGCCACATATAGAGAACTTTAATTGCAAAACAATCATTTGATAAGGAATTGTGTCCAAGAGCTGGGAATAGTGGTGCATACCTGTAATCCCAGCTCTCAGGAGACTGAAGCAGGGAGAATTGATGACTGGAGTTCAAAGTAGACTGAACTGCATATTGAGACCCTATGTCCAAAAACAAACAAAAAAGGAATTATGTCCAGAATATATAAAGAACTATCTCAGAAACAACACAGCTCAAAACATTGTCAAAAGTTTTGAAGAAAATACACAGGTAGCAATTTAATGCTTGAAAACAACATCACTGTCATTAGAGAAATGTAAATTAAAACTTAATGACTTGCTATTACCCACACTTTGGCTAAAACTGGCTGAGAATGATGGTGCACAAATGTAATCCCAGCTCATTAGGAGACCGAGACAGGACAATCACAAAGTCAAGGCCAGCCTAAGCAATTTAATGAGACCCTGTCTTTAAATTAAAAAAAAAAAAAGGGCTAAAATGTAAAAGTGTTTATATTGGCTGTTATCAAGTATGTACAGGAGCTGGTCTTCTCACACTACACTACTGGTGGCCGTACAAAGTACAGGTTTAAAAGAGAGTATAGACAGTTGTTTTAAATGTTAAATTTCCATGAACTAATTGATCCAGCCATTCCACTTGTAGGTTATTTACCTAAGAGAAAAGAAATCATATATCCTTAAAAAGCCTTGTTTACAAATATTTATAGTAGCTTTGTTTGTAATTGCTCAAAACTGCAAATATCCCCATGTTTATCAAAAGGTGAATGTATAATCATGGTATATTTATACTCTTATCAGGTAGCTCCTTCTGAGAGAAAGATGACTTCTAAGAGAGACAGAATAGG